GTTTAATTTCAGATAAGAAGCAAAGAGGAAGAACGGGTGTTGCCTTTATAAAAGACAACGGCGACCCGGTTCCAGGGGCAGCACGGCGGCCCGGCCTGTCCAGACCACTCGGGCTAGCGACAAAACACCCTGGCACCAATTTGGTGGACGGTCGAAAGCCTTTATTATCTTATCTCATGGGTTTAAATAGTCTTGGGGGTCTTTGCTACGTCAGAGGGGGGTTTGGTAGGGTCTCCAGGGTTAGTCGGGAGTGGAAAACTACTGGGTTGGGTGTGGTTACATGCTCTGGGGTTAATAGATAACGTGAAGCAGGGAGAAAGGGGGAAGGGTCTCTCTTTCCGTCACATCCCGAGATCTTCCGTTCGCCTGTCCCTATCTACTACATCTCCCCTCCCCTTATCATAAATAAAATGAGGTAGTCGTAGATAGAGGCACTGGAGTGAGGTACAAACTTGTGACTTGTTAAGGAAAGGGTGGTTTGGTAAACCTGAGTAATTTTTTCAAGGCAGGTCTTGAAGGCTTTTGCGACTGACTGTGTTCGCAGTTTTTGGTTTACAGCATTTGTTGGTGGCCTATGAACAAAATGTTCGCCCGTTCTAGACAGGCCTGAACAAACGAGACTAGTTTGTTCAGCAGGCATGGTCCTATGGTAACAGCTAAAAGCAGTATTGCCAGTGGACCTACCAGGGCGGAAATTAAAGTGGTGAGCCAAGGTGATTGATTGAACCAGGATTCAAACCAGCTCTGCTGGGTTTCCCTGTCTCTCTTTCTCTGAGCCAGTCTATCTCGGAGTTCTGCCATGGAGTTTTTAACAACTCCCGCATGATCTGCATAAAAGCAGCATTCCTCTTTCAGGGCTGCACACAGTCCTCCTTGTTGCATGAACAAGAGGTCCAGTCCTCGCCTATTTTGTAAAACTACTTCTGAAAGCGAAGAGACTGATTTCTCTAGATAGGAGATGGATTTCTCGATCCTCTGCAGGTCCTCGTCGATGGTCATTTGCAGCTGAGAGAGTCCGTGCTGTTGGGTTGCGATGGCTGAGACACCCGTGGCTGTGCCAGCTGCTCCCAGGCCGAGCAGCATTGCGATGGTTATACCTGTGATGATTTCCCTTTTGTGGAGTCTGTCAGGTTCCTCGAGAAGATGGTATATCTCTTCGTCTGAGTGGTACAGGACCCTAGGAACAATCAGAACTTGGACACATAAATCGATAGAGTCATTAAATTTGGCAAGGAACACACAAGGACTCACTCTGGATCGTTGGCAAACCCACATCCCAGATGCGGATGGGACCACCCACTTATTGGCTTTTCTGTTGGGCTTGACAACTTTAGTGCAGAAGTTGTCTTTCTGCTTTGCCAAGGTTGCATTTCCAAAACATCTGCCCTGTCCTGTGATTTGACTCAGGGTGATTCTTCTGCGGGGAGTGTCCCACTTGCACTGGTGGGGGGCGCTGGCTGTGGAGTAACTGAAGGGGGTGTCTAAAGCAATGCCTTCGTAGAAAGGGGGTTTAATATTATAGCAAAGCCAACAGGGGTTAGTCAGGTTCGATTTGGTTTCGTTTAGGGTTAGAAAGGTAGCTTCTAAACAGGTTGGCTATGTGGAACACGAAGGATGGGGTGTTCGCTGTGGTGATCTCTTTGAACACCTTGTCACTTGAAAGATGTTGCATGACCCACCTAAATGGCTGATGAGGGTAGTGGCCTGGGTCAGCTTGCCCCCGGCCACAAGCCCTAGCAGTAAAATTGCACAGAGACACTGTGCATGTCTGGGTCTCACCGGTGTGGGACTCTCGGGTTTTGTCTGGTGGCTTGGTGGTCTGTCATCTCCCTCTGGAGCAGGGGTGTATGCGTCACGGGGACGGTCCACGAGCGTGTCCTGCAAACAAAAACTCACAGTTTTCCATTAATTTCATTCTGAAGGTCAGGTTTGATTGACCTGAGTGGACACCACCTGATCCTGTCCTCTTTTTTAACTGCCGCGTACCCTCGTCCCGTAAGCAGCAGTCTCCAGCCCCGTTCCCACTCAGCTAGCTCGTTTTTGACCATGACCTGCGGGCCCTTCTCTATTGTCTGGGTGGCCCAGTGCTTTCGAATGGGACTGTTTGCTTCATCTCCCCTAGGGAATTGGTTCAGTGCTAGTAATGTGGTTGCTAGCATGCGCGTCTGGTCTCCTGAGGGAATGGAATTGGCAAAGCCCTCTGCCTTTGCCAATACTTCTAACTTGGCTTTTAGGGTCTGATTTGCTCGCTCAACAATGGCCTGTCCGGTGCTGTTATACGGGATTCCCTGCGCTAAGGTGATACCCCACACCGAGGCGAATTCCCGCACTGATTTGGAGATAAAATTGGAAGCATTGTCAGTTTTAATTTGCTTGGGGATACCAAGCCATGCCATAACTGTCAGCCAGTGCTGGATTGTGGCCTTGGAGTTGGGTTTGAGGTGCTGTGTCGCTATGATCACTCCGCTGTAGGTGTCCACTGTCACTGCAAGCCATGCTCGGGGCTTCAGCAGTTCGCAGAGAGTGAAGTCTGACTGCCAGATTTCTGAGGCCTTGAGGCCTCTCGGGTTGACCCCACCGGTCCATAGGGGTGACTTCTGGCAGTGAGGGCAGGTGGCCACTACGTGTCTCGCGTCTGCTGTCGAGATCCCGCATCTCTTCGCCAGTGCTTTGGCCCCTATGTGGAGTGACTCGTGCAGCTGACGAGCTTCCTGCAGCGTCCACACTCCCTTCGCTGCGGCATCTGCTTTGTCATTTCCAGTCTGGAAGAAGCCCTTGACTGGGTTATGGCTGTTGATGTGAATGACAGACACGGTGCCCTGGCGTGAGGAGAGTGCCTCTTCGAGCATGGAGGCCGTCGTGGATGTTGACACACCTGGTCTTGACATGGCTAGGCAGAGCTTTGCCACGAATATAGAGTCTGTCACGATGTTGAGGTGTTCATCTTGGAAGAGTCTGCACGCCAAGACCACTGCTGCTGCTTCCAGCTGTTGCACTGACAGCGTGGGGTCACACGTTTTGACGCAATGCCATGTTTCTCCTGCCTGCCACACCACTGCTGCAGTAGAAGTCGTGGAGGAGGCGTCTGTAAAGACCGTTGGTCCTGG